CTCTCTCTCTCTCTCCCTCCCTCTCTCCCTGTCTCTAAGTCTCCGTCTCTTCGCGGCCAAGCGATAACCCGTGCGTTTGTTGAAGAGTGGCCTCCATTTTGCGCAGCAACCACTGCGCCTGAGCTCGCCGATCTATGGGGGCAGGAATCATCGCCGATGGTGTGCCCTGTGCTCGCTGCCCTTGCGGCCCGAGTCGTGTCCTCGGTCTCACTCGTCGCCCTCCTCCATCATCTCCATCTGCCGCCCGTGGTTTGGGTACGTAATTGGAGTCCCCTGCATCATCAGTGTCTGTGGTCTCTCCCGGGGCGACATCTGTGCTGTCGTCGTGGACGATAAGTACACTGCCGCGTCTCTTCTGACCTGCCACTGCATTCCCTGTGCCCTCCCTGGCGACGATATCCGCCGTCGTTGCATCCCTCCCTCCAACATCCAATGCGTCGCCGTCAGGTGCAATCTCTCCGTCCTCGAGATGCACAACGCCCGATCCTCTCTCTCGGGAACGCATATGTGAGGATGAACGTGACGCCTTCCTTGCCGAGGCCTTCTTCCTTGCCCAAGAAAGACTCGCCTTTTCGGCTCTCGTAGCATGGACATCAGACGTCTTCGTCGGCAAAGCACTCCCGTGTCGGTTCTCAAACTTTGCCATGGCGGTGTGTCGAGCACCATCCACACTCCCAATGGATCGTTTCCCCATAGACGGTGCAGATGGCCTGCCAACATTCCAGACTCCCTGCTCATCCATCCCCCCAGTACTCTTCCCGCTGGCATAGAATGCCACTGTCGGCAAAACAGTGGCTCTGTCGCGCCGTGCTGTCGCCGATAACCCAACCAAAAGCTGTTCTGTCGCGTCCGCGCCACTGTTTGTGACGGGGACGCCGGCATCTGCGTCGACAGCCGCGGCAATCGGATGATGCTCTGAGTTTGACGGCGGACTTGGGGGTCTTGCTTCTCTTTCGAGTGTGTCAACTGGCCCACCAGGAGACCCTTCCTCTGCGCCGTCAAACGAATGAGAAAGACTGCGTTGTGCGTTGCTGCGCTGACCGTCGCGGCGGTGTCGCGTCGTCGTCTCCGCCAAACCAAGGGTCACCTCGCGTAGTTTGCCAACACGAAAAATTGTGGGCGTGGCAGACACCATTGGGTTCGTAATCATATCGGCGATATCGCCTCCTGCCACGTCAAACCCGTCCGATCCACGCTCCATGACAACAGGCTGTTGTGGCTTGGGCGGTGACACATGGGGTAGACCTGGGGATATCAACGTCGACAAGTCCGGTAGAGAAACGAGCGCAGAGTCCATGGTCAGTAACTCGCCGGTACTTGGAAGACTGCCGGTGGGGCATGCAAGGCCGACATGGTCTGCGGCGCTCTGCTCGGCTGCGGGAGTGTGTGAGATATCACGTTCCGGGAGATCGTCGCCTTGACACWCAACAACGGTCCCCTGACTCCCCTCCATCAATGCAGGCGGTGGCCGCGGTTGAACACTGCGAGGTGGGAGCATACTTTCTTGCTCCGCCGCTGCCAGTGGTTGTCCCACATCCAAGGTCGCTGCAACTGAGACTGCCGCTCCGGCAGACGTGAGTGGATGCAGTGCACCGACAGAACCCTCGTCCCGCACTGCCGGGAGAGGATTGATCTCTCCCTGAACCTCGGGATGACGCATCAACGGTGCTGGACCCTGTTGCGATTCTGGGACTGCTGCGGAAGGCCCCATCGGAGCTGTCACGTGCATACTCGAAGTGTCGATTCTGGGACTGCTGCGGAAGGGCCCATCGGAGCTGTCGCGTGCATACTCGAAGTGTCACCTCGTGGATGACCGCTCTCGCCATGCAGCTCGATCCGCTCCTCGCCGCCGTGATCGCTGAAAGAGTCCTCAGAAACTGGAATCTGCCCAGTTGCGGGGACTCATGATAGTGGAATGCTAGCAACCCCACCATGACGTTTGCGCACACGTGAAGCGATAGTGTCTTTTTCCCTTGGTCCGTGTTTCAAGCGCCTCAGGTCACCGCCCGAGACAGGTCGTGAACCATCATCATGCACTCCATCTCGAGCGTCATCTACTGCTGTGCGGTGCTCGCCCCCTGCCCCGTCGGCGCGCATCGTGTCACCATGTGCTGGTCGTGGCCTATCTCCTCCGTCACCGTGATCATCGCCACTGGCGCCATCGTCGTCGCCCACGTTCGGGTGACGGTCGTCGAAATCGCTGTCGCCATCCTGTGCAGGCCTGC